CCCTAAACCCTAAACCCAAACCATGGAACTCACCTCCCGAAGCCGGAAACCGAACGCCTACTCAGAACGCAAAGCATGGAAGGGTGCGTGTTTGGGGTTTCAGGAGCGATGCAGGAATGGGTTTAGGGCTTTGGGTTTGGATTTTGGGTTTAGGGGTTTAGGGTTTTGGGTTTAGGGTTTTGGGTTTAGGGTTTGGGTTTTGGGTGTTAGGTTTTGGGTGTTGGGTGGATTTTGTCTGAGATGTTTTCAGCTGGCATCGCGAGGCACAATACAAGCTGCTGGCCGTCGTGGGGGGCATCGTGCTTGGCCTCTTGCCTCGCAACGCAAGCTATATTTGGGTTTAGGGGTTTAGGGCTTTAGGGCTTTAGGGGTTCAGGGCTTTAGGGGTTCAGGGCTTGGGGTTTAGGGTTTAGGGTTTAGGGTCTAGGACATATTCAGGTGGGTAGTTACCGTTATAGGTGCCTTATAGAGGGTCTATATACCTTATAGAAGCCCTATAGAAGCCCTATATACCCTAAACTCCCCACCTGTAGTTTCCTTTAACTAAACCCTAAACCCTAAACCCTATAGATCCTTTTAAGAGGCCCCTTTTTAAAGCCTTATAGAAACTCCCACCTGTAGTTTCCTTTAAATATGGCAAAAGACATTCTTTACCAGCTGCTGAGCTACTGGTTTAGGGTTTAGGGTTTAGGGTTTAAACCCTTAATCCAAGCTTTCAACTCCTCCCTGAACCACTACCCATGGGCCCCATAGTAGTTCCTTTTTGTGGCTTATATTTAGGATCCCATTTGGGAATCCCCAAAAGGAACCACTATGGGGCCTTTTGGGTAAACTTCATGAAGCCCTTAAACCTAAGTAAGCCCGGGGCCCGAGTACGTCCATCTCTGTTTTCTACACATGACACTGCTTTTTAGGGTTTAGGGTTTAGGGTTTAGGGTTTAGGGTTTAGGGTTTAGGTTGAGTACTTACTCCAACGTAAAAGCATCCCTCTTGACCAAGGGGTCATCCACCGAACAAAAATACAGTCTGTGTAGATGAAGTCAGTAGTGTTATCCACCGCTTCGAATGTGTTGAAAATACGGAAAGCTCCTGAAAGCAGATGGGGAACCCTATGATATCAGCAGGAGCTTTCCTGTATACAGGTACATCACAAGATTTAGCAGCCCTTACACCTTTATGTTATGTAAGCACTGATGAGTCTCTATAGGTACACATGCATCTTGCCCTCCCGACAAGCCCTTGGATGAAAAGCTAGGCATCGGTGCCGGGCTGTTCTGGACGGCGCAAGGTGGGCACCTCTTGACGGTTTGGGGTCTGGTTTTCTTTCAGGGATTAGGGCCCAGGGCTCATGCCTCGCAGTAGTTGTTGCGCTGCATACTACTGTAGAAGCCGGAATAACTACCAGCATTATTCCTTACGGCTCCATGCTATCAGTTCTAACTATTAAGACAGCATAAATCAGGTCTAGGGGGTGCAGGAGTGAAGGGATGAGTCATGGCTTCGGGGCTTGTGATTTGGGCGAAAGCGGTCGAAGTGGGGTCTAAGGTTTAGGGTTTAGGGTTTTGGGTTTTGGGTTTAGCGTTTAGGGTTTAGGGTTTAGGGTTTCGGGTTTAGGGTTTAGAGTTTTGGGTTTTGGGTTTAGGGTTTAGGGTTTAGGCAGCCTTCCCGGCTCCATGGGCATCAGGGCAGTTGCGGGTTAGGGTGTTGCATGTTTCTCCGCGTGTCGCACGAACCCAAACCCGAATTAAGGCCCGAAAAGTCTAAACCCTACTGCCCCAAAGTTATAAACCCACAAGCCTAATTACACCCAGAACCCTAAACCCTGAAACCCTAAATCCCAAAGCCCTCAAGGCTCAACAAAAACCTTCAGAACCCCAAGCCGAGCTCCAAACTTCCCCGGTGAGGGTCGCTGATGATGGCCTATGCGACGCCCAGCTCAAGAGGACCCTGTTTGACCTTGCAAGAAGGGGGTTTCTGGCCGCTAGTTGGATACAATTTTACATTTTTTGTTTTAAGAAAACCCAATAAGAATTAACAATGATCCTTTTTAAGATAGCCACAACAAGGAACTAGGTTTGTAGAGTTCTTATAGGGTTCCTGCAGGCTTCTTGTAGGAAGGTTTTAGAGGGTTTGACCTGCCATGATTGACAATCCTGATCGTCCGTTTTTCCATGACTGCATAGCTCATGCGGAAGTAGCGAGTGTTCTGTATCTTACGGTCGATATCATCAGGGGTCTCGAACCTCAGACAACAGTTGCTTCTAGCAGGTTGTAGCCTGTTATCTCTGGCGCCCTGTAATTTTTCAATAAGAAGAGTCCCTAAGCCCCAAGCCCTATACCCTAAACGCGAAACCCTAAACCCTAAACCCTAAACCCTAAACCCTAAACCCTAAAACCCGAAGCCTCTAAACCTACAGCCCTTCACCGAAGCTGCCCACCAGAGGACGCTTAATTGCAGTCTTCTGGGTCATCTTCAACTTGGGAGGACCGACTCGCAACGAGAATCAGTTTAGGGTTTGGGCTTTCGGGTTTAGGGTTTAGGGGCGTAGCGAGGATCATTGTCGAAAGCGGAATTTGGGTCGAGGGGTTTCGGATTTAGAGTTTACGACGGTGTATGATGCTTTGCGAACCGTCGGGTCTTATGTGTAGAGCTTACTACAGGAACCTAAATAACTAAATACCAATACTAAATTTTGGGGGGTTCCTTATTATGCAATATAACCCAAAACCCTATTCGAATTGTTAGGGCTTCTGTATTAAGCATCGTGAGGCGTCGTGGGTGGGCTGCTCCAGTTTGCGCTGAACTTCCAGACGACCGGCGGCAGCGCCACCCGGCGAAAGCCCGTGGGGAGGCGCAGGTTGCCAGGAATCCACTCCAAAACCTACCTGGGCTCTACAGAGCCTACCTTTTTAGGGGGTTCCTTATCTTATGACTTCCATATATATATATATATATATATATGTCCTTAAAGATATAGGTTGTTTAGCATACAAGTAGACTCTGGACCCCTAAATTGTGGGGTTGGGCGTTCGGGTTTAGGCACGGCAGCCTGGCACGAATAAGCCCTGAACCCTTAAACCCTAAACCCCGACACCATTAAACCCTAAACCCTTAAACCCTAAAACCCTAAACCCTAAGTCCTTAAACCCTAAACCCTTAAACCCAAAGCCCTAAACCCAAACCCTAAACCCTTAAACCCTGAACCTTTAAACCTTAAACCCTAGGCCCTAAGCTCTTGAAGCGGTCCCACGAGCCTGAAGCCGCACTCCACTAGAACTCCTGAGCCTGACGGCCCGTACGAAACCCGTAATTAGAATACGGTTCCTTTAAAGGGCTTCTTAAAAGGGATACTAGAAGGGTTACTATAATAAGGGTTTAGGGCTTAAGGGCCTTAATATGAAACCCGTAACTTCAAAATCAATCTTCCCCTAGGGCCCTAAGTCCTAAACCCAAAACCCGCCTGAAGACGCAAACGAGCTATCAAAAGAAAGACCTTTAAACCTTAAGCCCTAAACCCTCTAAAGCCCTAAAGCCCTAGAGTGTGAATGAATGTGAATCACCGCATGTCCTTAGAGCCTGAAGATCTTGCGTCAGACTCCTTTCGTAAGATCAGGGGCCTTTAGTAAAGAAGAGTTGAGGGTTTAGGAGGGTTTCGGGTTTAGGGGTTTCGGCGAAAATCGCCTTGCTTGGGCTATTCATAACTCTTTTGACTCTACTCAGAGCCTACTCACAATGTCCTCTGACAGCAGAACCCCTGTCCCGACCTCCCTCAAGCTTATTCTGGGGGCCTGAATAGCTACCATAGGGTACTGGGATAGTAGTGCCCTGAGGGTCCATGTGCCCCCAAATAGTATATACTTTGGCCCCAAAGTAGCTTTTTACAGAGTACTTTAAGGCCAACGTATATACTATTTGCGTACATGGACCCTTAGGGGTAGTAACTAAGACCCTAAACTCGATTTTCCCTGAGTCCAACCCAGGCGAGCCCAATTTCGTACTTTACGCCTGCCGGCTGCATCGGAGCTGGCATTGGGACGGATTGTTGCGAAGGAGATAGGAGGAGTTTACGATATAGGGGCTTTATTAATAACTAGAATAGGGTTCTGGGGCCCAATATACTGCACTTTTAATAAGGAACCCCAAAGGAGGAGTTTACTATAGGGGCTTTATTAATAACTACAATGGTTCTGGGGCTCATTATACTGCACTTTTAATAAGGAACCCCATAGGAGGAGTTTACTGTAGTGGCTTTAATAACTAGGCTCATTATACTGCACTTTTAATAAGGACCTCCCCCCACCAAAAAACAAAGTATTGGTAACTATTTAGGCCCCTACATTACACGGTCTTCGGAAGATGTATGTCATGAACCCTAAACCCTAAGACCCTAAAACCCTAAACCCTAAAACCCTAAACCCTAAAACTCTAAACCCTAAACACTAAAACCCTAAACCTAAACCCTAAACCCTAAACCCTAGCCCTAAACCCTAAAACCCTAAACCCTAAACCTTAAAACCCTAAACCCTAAACCTTCCTTTGTGTTTGAGGACCGTTCTGAAGGGTTTGTATGGGTTCCGGTCTCTACTCGCTCCGAGAAGTTGCGAGGGATTTAGGGTTTGAGGTTTAGGGGTTTAGGGTTTTAGGGTTTAGGGTTTATGGATGAGCATCGCAGTTTCTGGATTTTTCGAGAGCTCAAGCCTCAAACGTGGAAGATGAGGGCACGGAGTGTTTGCGTTTTATGTGTGCCTTTGCGTGTGTGTGTGTGTGTGTGTGCTTGAAAGATCGGGGGACTTAGTAGGTTTCGTAAGTTGGTTACAGGTAGGGTTACAAGTACCAGTAGTTGTCGTCGTCGGAGTACCCGCAGTAGCAGTACCACGGACTGCGAGACTGTTTCGCAAAGCACAAGATTTGCTCTCAGGTTCGTATGTGCCGGGACGCCCAGGACCTCTTGCGACGCCGATTGTTTCGACCTTCACATTGTTTTTTGTACATACTGGAGGGTACAGGTGTGACAGGTATGAGTTGCTTCAGTTGCATGTTGGCTGTTTCTCGCTTCTTCGGATGAAAAGTTTTGGCGATGGAGCTTCCAACTGTTGTAAACATATTTAGCTTTTATGTTTGGGACAGGAGTAGTTTGGCCACAATGTCCTCCGGGGTCGCGGCTTTTCAGTTCTCGGGAGCACTTGAACTGCTCTTCTACATCCGTGATGTCAAGTTTTGCCCATAAGTTGTGCCCGGCATTGCGTGCCAAGCGCTCAGGGAGCCCTGCCACTACTAAGTTACGGGCACGACGTCTGCCCCTGCCCTGCCCCTGCCCTGCCGCTTGCGCTGTCCTCTGCCCTGCCCTGCCCTGCCCTGCCCCTGCCTGTCCCGCAAATAGACAAAATATATCTTTACCTGCGACCCCAAACCCTACAAAATAGTAGGTTATGAAGTAAAGGGGTGGAACCCTTAAAACGGTAGGTTTTTGGATCCCCAGGTAATACTGTCCCAACCCAACCGTGATCAAGCCTTTATGAAACCCTATAAGCTCCATGCAAATCTTGCAGGTCATGGTGTCTGGTGCCGCTTTGGCGCCGGTGCTACTCGCCGAGCCGACACACAGCTGAACTTGTAGCTCTGGGGCTTAAAGAGGCTAGGGCGGCTAGGGTGGAGGATTTAGGGTTTAGGGTTTAGGGTTTGTTTGGGGTTAGGGTCTAGGGCCTAGGTTTGAGGTGTTACTGTACGGTCTGGGTTTAGGGTTGGGCTTCTTGGTTTTGTGCCGCGAGAGTGATAGCGCACAGTCAGGCTTTGTTGTTTGAGACGCTTTGCTGAAGGTTTTCGATGTTCTGGCACTTCGGGTGTTGATGCGGCTTTGTTTCAGCATCCGGGAAGTGGGATTGAGGGTGTGGAGCTCAGCAAGACGAAGAGTTTGAACCTTTACTCGCCGGGTTTTCGATCTCATCAAAAGGTCTGCATTGTGAGTAGCATGGACGTCGGCATGAGGCCCTAGGCTAGGCACTTGATCCAAAACTTGGTTTAGCCTAAGCCCTAAATCCTGAAACCCTAAACCCTAAACCAACCGAATGTCTAGGATGTGAGCCGTCAGGTTCTCGGGTTTAGCAATACTCCTTCCAAGCGAACTCACACTCGAGGCTTCTATCCTACAACGGCAACGTAGGGTCTGAAGCATACCCAGTCCCCGAAGAGGCTGCAACATGCAGATTCAATTGTAGTAGTCCCAATTAATTATAAGGGGATCTACGTTTTAGATCCTTTCCCCTAAACCCTAAACCCTAAACCCTAAACCCTAAACCCTAAACCCTAAACCCTAAACCCTAAACCCTAAACCCTAAACCCTAAACCCTAAACCCTAAACCCTAAACCTTAACCGTCGGAAGTC